TTTCAGTTTGTGTTATTCTCATCATCCTTCTGTAGACTGACATTTCTGTTGCCTAAAATCTCTCCTTTATCTGTAATGAGATTGTTCAGAGGACTGATATTACGTGACAGTTCAGTACGCTTTTCTTTGTTCTTAACGATTTTTCTAGACCAAGGATAATTTAGCGCACGTACACACACACACATATATATATGGCGATGTTAATGGTAATGGTAGTATTAGCTGTTTCCTTATAAGGAAACATTTGGCATTCATTGACTGAATAGCCTGTGTTATTGTTGGTTTAAGTTTAGAAAATCTTTTCATTAAAATAATTTTTCAGTAAAATACGTTTTTCAAGTCCCCTGTTACTGCTTTCCGGTATTGATGGGGAAGGGCTTCCTAACCTTTTGCTCGAAGTACAGGATGCGATGGATAAATTGTCCTCATTTTATGTTTTTAATTTTGAGCATACACGCTGTTTTTTTTTTTGGTGTCAACTGCAGATTATAGTAGGGTCAGTTGGGCACCGTTTGTGAGAAAAAGAACACCATGACGCAATTCACTCCGCCAGAAATTTGGAAACTGCATGCTGTACTGCTTGACATTCGCGCCGGATACTACAATCCAAACATTTCAGATTTTGGGGGTGTCAATCAGTGAAGAAGATTCGGAAAGAGTTGGATGAGTCTACTGGTGATTACGAAGGTGTTTGGAGTGATCATTAGTTATGTCGACGCTATACCTCCATTCATCTTCCCACAGAGCCCCAGACTTAATACGAAGGCCTACATCAAATACTTTGAGTAGGTAGTGCAGCCCTGGGTCAAGGGTGTGACTGCTGGAAGTAACTTTCTGACAGCAGGACTCTACACCATGCTACATAAGCAGGCGAATCCAGTCAGACAATTTCTGTGACTATATCACCCCTTACATATGGCCACCTAACTCCCCAGACTGCAACCCTCTTAATTATTATGTATGTTTAAAACCATTTTTAAATCAGAAACGCTTGCCGTAATGAAATTGGAGTTACAATTTATAGGGTTTGATTACCAAAGAAAGGGGTGCGTATTATACGTGAGTAGAAGCATTTTAACACACTTCCAGCACAATTTTATGTGTGCACGTTATGGATGAAAGCGTATTATACATGAGAAATTAGGGAAATAGTCTGAAGAACCGTTTCTACTTTCCATCAGTATGGCTGATGCTAACCTCCCAGAGAGGGATTCATTGCGGCTTCTCGGGCCAAAATTTTTCGCAGGCATGAAACGGCAACATTATATTGAATCAAAAGCTAGGTTTGCTGATAAGAAAGTTGGTTCACTGTGTTGTGCCAGGCAATTTTTCTCATCAGAATCTATCCTAAATATTTATATGTTTACAATTCGTCCATGCTTTGAATATTTCTGTCACATAAGATCAAGTGTTCTTGCTATTTATTTAGATGAAAATCTAAAAAAATAATTTGCAATATTATTGGTCCTCACCGGCGTCACGGCTTCTGGCAGTTTCTGACAGTCGTAATGTAGCTTCACTGGATAAACTTTCAATTATGGTACCTGGACTTTATGAATTTAAGCGCAATACTAGATTGGCAGCAAGGTCTCACCAATTTACAGTTGAATTGGTTAGATGCAACCGTAAGTTCTATGCTAACAGTTTCTTTTCTCGCACTTCTCTCTTGTGGAACTCACTTCCGGGTCCATGCTTTCCAGCCGATTTTGATCTTTAAAAAATTAAGTGCAATGTCAATCGTTATTTGTTTTATTTTTTATTTCTCTTATTTTTTTTATTCTCGTTCGTTAATCATGTTTTTCTTTTTTTTTATTCTTTTACCTTCAGTAATCTCTTGTATCGTAGAAGCTTTACTGTAATGTTGGTAGTGAAATAATCATATATATATATATATATATATATATATATATGTAAGCAAATATATGGATATAAATCCGACAGTATGAAAGAAAAAAACAGAAAAAACAAAATTCTGAATATGCATTATTAATGTTAAAATAAAGTCGACGTCGGACGTTTCGGTCTATTTAAGACCATCTTCATGGACATTTTCATTTAAACATAATTAACATTATAACTTATAACAATTTAACACAAAAGACGATGGACATAAGAGCCCAACTAATTCAAACAGATAACTGAAATTTTATACAGATCAGCGTTCTGTTTAAATATGATCACGTAGTCGTCTCGTGGGCGATGTTGTTAAGACGTATTCGAAGATGATTTCCAAAAATTAAAATTGATAAAGTCGATTGAAAAATTTTTTAAATTGATAAAGTCGATTGAAAAATTTTTATAAAAAGTTAAAGAAATCTCTTCCGTTGATGTTGGAATACGTAGTGAAACAATTGGTTCTTATATCTTCAACAAGCTTGAAAGTCCTTCCCGTTACAATGCAAATCCAAAAATTTATATATATATATATAAATTCAGTTGGACTCTTTGTTTTTTTTCAGTAGATGCTATATATATATATATATATATATATATATAGATAGATAGATAGATATGAGCAGAGCGAGATAGATATGAATAGAACGAGTGAGAGAGATATAAACAGACTGGCACAGATAGATAGATAGATAGATAGATAGATAGATAGATAGATAGATAGATAGATAAGCTGAATGAACAAAAAACCTTAGAGAAGCAAGCAAAATTAAGAGAAACATATTTCCTCGCACAAACCCAGCCCTCACCACGTCCCCATTCATCAAGTATCAACAAAGTTACCTTCAATGGTAAGTTAAATCCAGAAATGTAAGAGAATCTGCTTGGAAATCGATCCTATCGCCAACGACTTAAGAAAGAGAACAAAAAACGTTTTATAGGGAAAATTACATTTTTTTTTTTCTTTGGGATTTTTCCTCATCTGTCTAACTATATCATCTATCTCGTTCTGTTCATATCTATTTATATGTATGTAGATCTATGTATGTATGTATGTATCTATCTATCTATGCATTTCAATAAAAAGAATACCCGCTCGGCCCGGTGGCTAGGATCAAAGTGTAGTATCTGCGCTTTGTGAGCTGCCGGGTCGGGTGTCTGTCGAACTCTCTGCTTGCAGAGAGGAACCCGGACGAAGCTCCGCCGAAGGGTGGGGTTTCGTTCGGGGAGGTTGATTGAACTAGCCCCGCTTGGACGGGTTTAGATGGGTTTTATTTTGGCTGGGCCTACGGGCTCAGACATACCCACATTAAAAAAAGGCCTTGTGCCACATTCAATTCCTGTGGGTGAATTGATAAATACCATCTATCTATTTGTTCATATATATATATATGTATGTATCTATTTGTTCATATATATATATATATATGTATGTATCTATCTATTTGTTCATATATATATATATATGTATCTATCTATTTGTTCATATATATATATTGTATGTATCTATCTATTTGTTCATATATATGTATGTATCTATCTATTTGTTCATATATATGTATGTATCTATCTATTTGTTCATATATATGTATGTATCTATCTATTTGTTCATATTATATATGTATGTATCATTTGTTCATATATATATGTATGTATCTATTTGTTCATATATATATATGTATGTATCTATTTGTTCATATCTATCTACGTGCAATATGCATTTCATAAAAAGGGTAATTTTGCCTGATTATGCTGTGAAATATTTCGTGACTGAGCAGTCTAACGTAAACCTAGCTTAAAGCTGGTTTCTCCAATATAAGTTTACTGAATAGAATAATCACACGAAGGTTGGTAATGAACGATAATACTTAGGATAAGAACAACACATATAAGATTCGCCAGCAGCGCGTAGACGTAGTCAACTGCTAGAAGTGAGTCAAGTAAACTTCACAATCAATCTTTAACTGCAGGATATGTACCAACCGCTCCACGCGGTCAGATTTGGCACAAGGGGTCGGGTAGCTGTTTACCGAGACTGCCCTTCGACATAGCCTCGTCTGGGTATCCTCTCTGCTTGAAGGCAGAAAGTTTGACCAGCACAGCTGGAGACGAATCTCTAACTACAGATAGTATTTACTAACTGCCTACGAGTCAGATGTGGCACCAGGCCGAATTTTATGTGGGGTTCCCGAGTCCGTAGGCTCAGCCAAAAATTCCCCGTAGATCCCGTATAAAACGGGGTCGGTTAACTGTTTCCTGAGACGAGACACTGCCCTTCAACATAGCCTCGTCCAGGGATCCTCTCTGCCTAGAGGCGGAGAGTTTGACCAGCACAGCTGGAAATGAATCTCCATCTGCAGGATATCTACCAACCGCCTCACGCGTTCAGATGTGGCACAAGGCCGAATTCATTGTTGGGTATCCGAGCCCCTAGGTTCGGCCAAAAATTCCCCGTAGACCTCGTATAAAACAGGGCCGAGTAGCTATTTACCATTATCCTCCGTAGGTATGCTACAATAATTACAGAGTGAAGGAAAGTAAGATAGAATTATGAGGACTAGTAGGATAGATATCGGTTGACCCTGGACTTAAAAGAGACCAAGATTGTAGTTGTCAGAGAAGCGTTATCTCGGGAGTTTTTCCCCACAAAGTAATAGTTCTGGTGGAGAAACTGAGTGGATAGCTTCCACGGGGGCAGGGTTGATCTGAGTTACCTCCAGTCGATTCAGCTGTTGTCAGTGATTGCTTCGAGAAATGAATACCTGTGAGCATGGCTGCGCTTGGTAAAAAGAAAGAAAAAAAAGAAAGAAAAAAAAGAAAAAAGATTGATTTGTTTTTTTTTTTTTTTTACAGGATATCAACCTTTTACAAGATTATTTATAGCCAGATTGTATGAACTTTTGTATTTCATTTTCTTTTAGACATAATGATTTTTTTAAATACAAATATTACTAATTAAACCAAAGCTGGGAGAAAAGACGTGGATTCATACCTTTTCCCCAGGTTATTTGCCCTTAGGTGAATATAACGAAACCGACTGTAATTGGAACTCGGCTCTCCAATTTCCAATTCAGAACCATTATCTATTACACCACCCGCACATCCAGGCTTACAGCATCTGATATTCCCAAGCGGTCAGCCATTTAGGTACTGACCAAGCTCGACGTTGCTTAACTTTGGTGATCGTACGAGAACCGGTGTTTCAGCATAACAAAGTGCTAATGTAAATCCGAAAAGAAGAACGAAGATCCGGCAGCAAGGCCTCTGCTTGCGGGATTGGAGGTTTTGAAGAGCGTGGATCCACATCTTAATTGCTAGTCCTGGGTATAACGATAAACTACATCCGGCAGCAAGGCCTCTGCTCGGGATATTGATGGTTTTGAGGAACGTGGCGCAACCTCTTAATTGTCAACAATACATATTTATAGTAAAATGGCCAGCGATATATTTCGTAGTAAAATGACCAGCAATGCATTTTATCTGTAGTTGAAACCATAAAATTGTGTTCAAAATATTTAGATTTCCGCATCAAATAACCCATAGAGATGTCAATATGCCGCTAAACAAAAGCAAGCATGCAGAAGGATAAAGAAATGATAAAAAAAGGAAAGAAAATCAATGTGTGTAGAGCGAGAGAAAATCCGGAGAAAGCGAAAAAAGATGAAAATAGTCGAGAGAGAGAGAGAGAGAGAGAGAGAGGCGTCAAAAGAGGAAGAAATGCAAATCTAAGAGAGAGTGAGGAAGGGGAGAAAGAGGGGTGAGAAAGAGCGTGGAGGAGAAGAAACGATACTAATTACTACTGCCAGATTGGAAGTTTGCGCGCCGTAATTTGTTCAGTTGACAAGCAGACGCAGCCACTTCCCAACCCGTAAATGGAAATGACACAAATGATATCGTCACATTAAATACGACATTTCTGATTAGGTGATGAGATAACTTTACAAATATCAGACAAATTACGAGTTGCTTCCCTTGTGCAAGTTTATCATCCCAGGCTGAAATTATTTTACTATTGTTTTCGTTCAATTTTTTCGTGTAATACTCTGAAACTCTTACACATGCACACGCATACAAAATACACATACACACACACGTATAAACATGAACACACATTATTGCACTCATATTGCACACCAGTTCACAAATACATACACACAAGAATATAATAATAATTAGCCGAAAACCTGTGTTGCAAACATTTTCATTATAAATTTATTTATAAGGAGGTACAAATGAAAAGATATGAAATTGACAACTTTTCCCATTTTACTTAAACAGACGTTAAACACTTCTTTCTTTTATTTTCTCACTGAAACCAAGTAGTGTGTCTGATATGTCATTTCCGTGTTTTGTCAAAACGGAATAGTTCATTAATTACGAGGTATTGGCAGGGCGTAACGGTCGTGTGAACTAACAAACTGACGAAGAGAGAGAGATAAGCAGAATTATAATAACGCTAATGCCTCCTCGTTTTCTGAACGCAACGTCTGCTTTCGTTTGAACAATCTCTGTGTTAGTGGCGCCTGTCCAGGCATATTGGTGATTCTTCAACACCCACAGAACCCACCTGCGATTTATACTGCAACTACACTGAGCGAACCTTAGTTACTGTTTCTGAAAGAAACATGTCGGCGATTTCAAACAAATCCTTTCTAACAACAATAGCTCCGACGATCAGTGAATCTTCTTTGACAGTCTTTTCTAAACCCTATATTTTTCTGTGGATCAACTACCCAAAAACTAACTCAGGACTATTTTACTCCTTTTTTATTATTTTAAATTCATGTAAACATTTGTAAATACAAATTATTTGCTTAACATGCATACCCTTTTTTATTATTGTTTGGAATACGGACGTTAGGATATTTAATATAAAAAAAACCTGTGACGACATTGAAAATCTTCTACTATTCATAGTGGATTGCAAATTATTTTGAAAAGTTTCCCCCCCCCCTGTTATACAGGAATAAAATGTCACTGCCGACACTGGAGTTTGAACACAGATCACCAAAGAGCAAACATAGGCGATTCCATTTTGAATAAGTAGATCACGTGATGATAAAGGAAATATATATATATGGGAATTAGCAAGTACTATTAGTGCAAGTGTTATTCGAAGGCGTCTGACACTAGTATTGTTCAACGGCGTTACTGTAGTCGTATCTGCGATTACAAAGTCTACTACAACGAGCATTACAAAAGTGACAACGAGTATTTGTTGGCATTATAAAAGTGGCAACGAGTGTTCGTTGGCATCACAAAATTCCCTCTGTGCAAACAAAAGGCTTTCCACAATCCATGATACTTGAAAAAAAAGCATTCGAATACATAAAGGCAAGTTCACTACCGCTGTTAAAATTTCAGATGATTAATTGTTAGTACAAATATTAACCTATGAACATGAGTCATTCTTAAATAGCCTCGTCAGATCGAAACTTTCGTATGGATGTCATACATGGCATCCAAATAGTTCATAAATATTTAAATTGTCAGCTGTATACACCCGATATCTCAGATCTATGATTAAAACATGGCCTCAAATGAATTAAATTTGTAGGTCTAACCGTAACCAGCCTTCTTTGAAACTCGTGAATTGGCGCCACAGAATCACAAACAAAAACTGAACTAAATATTAGAAAACACACGGCTTGAAATGAGAGCATTAACAATTAATATGAATAAATATGTAACTCGAAGAGAAAATGACATAGTAAAAACATTGACGCTCCACACGACTTCGAACAAAAAGTTAGGAAGGCAACCTCCCCATCAATAATAGAAAAAGCGGAAACAGTGTGTAAACACGAGAAAAGCTATTTTGCTGACAAATTTGTTTTAATAAAGATTGTATACATTTCTACTGACAATAACAATGGCTGCTCGGACAATGAATGAGAACTGTTTCCACGGCCGATATTAGCATTCCCTCTAAATATGGAAAAGAAAAAGATTTCCATCTAAATATGCAAAAAAAAAATACACACAGCTGAACCTTGGTTTACGAATTTAATTCGTTCCTGAAGCGCGTTCGTAATCTGAAGTGTTCGTAAACCGAAACTATTTTCCCAATAGGAATCAATGTAAAATGGATTAATCCGTTCCTGGTTCTTATTTGTTCGACATGTGAGACGTTCAAGAACCGAGGTTGGTCTGTATTACAATTTTCGTATGATGATCTTCGTGGTTATTGTATGGTTATATTAGCTTGATGGTTCGTTGGACAAGCACATTTGCCCCGAAAGAGAAGGAAAAAAAAAAGCGATTTCCGATTTCATTTCATAAATTTGGCGTCATCCATTTTCAATAACTTCTTTTTTATTCTCCGTCTGCAAGTATAGCGAAGAAAATGGTGACTTACCTCGTCAAACCAAGAGACAGCGTGCCACGTGTATTCTACGACGGAAAAGGTGGGGTTAAAAAGAAAATTACTTACAAGGGCACGTATTCCGGCATGACATGTTGAAGATGGAATATTTAAATTAAAAAAAAAAAAAACAAGCCCGTCGCACGAGTCGCTATAAAAGTATTTTGACATGCAAATTACTGAACATCCTCTCCCAGCTGTCGACGAATGGAAAAAATGCTTAGCCGATAAAAGCAGTTGGTGTTATCGAAACGAGCGGAAAATTCGGGTATTTTGACTACCGCGTTTGTTGGAGAGGGAGTTATTTTTCTGACTGGTTACGTGCATTGAGATTTGTGAGATAGTACCGGCGAATTCAGTTTTCAGCATTTCTTTCTGCCCCCGATGTTCGAGTCTGAACTTAGTGATTTATTCTCTGTGACGTGGAAATAATCTGCGACAAACATTTCCTTTGCAATCCCAGATCGCTTACAAGCTATTTCGGCACTATGACGAGCAAGACATTTGACGTCAAGTTGAGACCTGAGTTTGATGGTTCAGTGACCGGACTAGCAGTTACTAAATGGATTGAGAAGGCAGAACTTGTGAGCTGTGTGGAATTAAAAAGGTTGAACGTGTTCTTCCTTTGAGGTTGACGGTCGGAGCATTTGCTGTTTACCAGCAGTTAAACTCGGAACAAAAATCAGATGTCGAGCAGATAAAACGAGCCTTGAAGATTGCCTTTGCACCGGATTGTTTCTTGGCTTACGAGCAATTCGCGGAACGCCGACTGCGCCCGGACGAGTCCGTCGACGTGTTTCTAGCCGACTTGAAGAAGCGAGCTGGTCTATTTGGCGAGATATCGGAGCAAGGATTAGCATGTGGGTTCATAGCAGGGCTACCAGCGCACGTCAAGCAACTACTGCGCGCGTCTTCCAGGATGGAAGACATGAATACAAACCAACTGTTGGACCGAGCTCCGGCCATAATGAAAGATCAAATTGCAACTAAGGAAATGGTTACGGCTGAAGATGGAATATTTGGATTAAAATACAAGTCCGTCGCATGAGTTGCTATTAAAGTATTTTGATATGCAAAATACTGAACATCCTCTCCCAGCTGTCGATGGATGGAAAAAAATAGTCTGCTATTTTGGCTACTGCATTTGTTGGAAAATGAGTTATTTTTCTGACTGGTTACGTGCATTGTGATTTGTGAGATAGTACCTGAGAATCGAGTTTTCGGCATTTGCTTCTGACCCCCCCACCCCGATGTTCGAGTCTGAACTTAGTGATTTATTCTCTGTGACGTGGAAATAATCTGCGACAAACATTTCCTTTACAATCCCAGATCGCTTACAGCAAGTTATCACTCTTTCTACCATACTTGAAAATTATACCCAAGAGTTTTCAGTTCTTTTAAAATCCAAAGTGTTGGCCATTCTTTATTTAAAACATTTGCTGATTCAAAAGCCTGAACAATTACGGACAAAATAACACGCACACTATTTACATTATTCGGACTATTGTCCTCATCTTTGTCGCCATATTTATTACGTTTCAGCCGTTGTACGCTCCGGCCTTCTCCAGGTGGTTGGAATGGTGAACTGAACCATTTATTTCGCTCACTGGGGTAGACTGTTCTAGTTGTACGTGCCATGTTTAATAGATATCAGTTATCTCTTGTTAATTATCCTCTCCAAGTTCTCCACTGCCTTAACCGGGTATTGAACTCCCACTCTTTGGGTCCTGTCACTGGAACTAACTAGCGCCTTTATCCACTGTGCCATGTGTCCTCAAGGACATGGCATGTGGAACTAGAACATTCTACCCCAGTGAGCGAAATAAAGGGTTCAGTTCTTCATT